AATAATAAAATATATCATTCATTCTGGAGAGAAATAAGATCACCATCGCTGAACTTACCTTCTCCCCAAAATGTGATTATTTTCTCAACTTTATGATTTAGGTTCATCTGTAGTACTATAATATTTGGGACTGAGACTAGAAACCTACGAGTCTCCTTTTAACTTTTCTCTCAAATTCTATGTCTGATCAGAGGCCAAAACCCACGAATTCTATATTCAAATATCTCTGAAACCTATCTATCCTCTACATACCTTTCAGTCAAACTATTATAATCCTGGTCCAGACTCTTTTTACTTCTCAACTGAAATGTTAAAATAATCAGTATTTCCTGGTCCAAGCACTTTGCTGTTATTTCTACCCTCTTGTGCAATTACCAGCTTCGTCTTCTAAATGCGCAGATTCACTAAATCATTTTCCTGTTAAAGAAGTCTTCAATAGTTCTCTATTGCCTCTGAGATATAAAATAAGCATTAAATTCAAACGTATCTTTAAAAAATCTTACTTTTATTGATATATTTTGTTTTAGTTTCTTTTTTGTTTGTTTACATTCGTTTCTAAGTATTTATTATATTTATATATATGATATATATAAATATATATTCTAAATATATTCTAAATATATAACTTCCCTCTTCCCTTCCCCCAAACCATCCCATGTAACAAGAAATTAAATGGAAACAGAAGATATCAGTTTAGCAAACTAACAAATACATTTTCTCTATTTGATGGTATTTTTTAACATTTCATATCTATAGGCTTCCACTTCTGCTCATACATGTACTGCAGAAGTGGAAGCCTATAGATATGTGTGTACACATATACATATATATATATATATATAAAATGTATGCATATACAGATTAAGTTATAGATTATATGTATTATTTATCAAATGTACTCCATTTCTGACCAAGAACTCATTATTCTCTTCTACATTGAACTCTCAAAAATAAAAATTCAATTCTAAAATGCTACTTTCTTAACCAGCTGTTTACTTCATAAATCTGCCTTTCTGTAGATATGTGTGTATATATATATATATATATACACACACATATATATACATACATATGTATGTATATATATGTGTGTATATATATATACATACATATATATGTGTGTATATATACATACATATATATACACACGTACTTTAAATTCAGTACTTCAGAAAATAAATATGTATATGTATACATACACATTTGCCAGACATCATAGAGAATAATAGATATCCTATTGAAAGAACAGTAGAGTGGAACATTAAGTCACATATGAAAATATGCCAGCACTAAGACCAAGATATATATTTATATGTATACATACACACAATATATGTATATACGGGGATATGTGTATAGAGATGTATATATACATATATCTCTGTACATACATGCATGTATATTTATTTTCTCCCTTTCTTAGGTTCTTTGATCACCAATTGTAGGAGAGATTCTTGGTCAGATTCACACTGAACTAGATGACCTCTGTGGTTGCTTGCTTTTATAGTCAAATCCTTGTATACTGGGAGACACAAGGAAGACACAAGAAACCAAACAGATCTGTTATGCCCCTCCAATCTCAATAGCCAAATCACAAACCAATGCCAAATGCTCATGAATGTGACTCTAGTTCATCAAGAAATGACAATTAATATTAAAAAAAAAGATATTCAGTGTCTTCTGTGTGAGAGGCAGCCCATGATCAATATAATTGCAGACAACTTCCATTCAACATTTTTTTTTTAAGGCAGTTGGGGTTAAGTGACGTGCCCAGGGTCACACAGATAGTAAGTGTCAAGTGTTTGGTCTGAGGTCAGATTTGAACTCGGGTCCTCCTGACTTTAGGGCCGATGCTCTATCCACTGCACCACCTAGCTGCCCCTCAACATTCTTAAAATAAAAATGATTGATGATTAAAGGGATGTTTACTTATGTGGAATAAATCTTCCCAGAATGTTTAACTAACCTGAAAATACCATGTAAACATGAGTTGTTTTTGTTTCCATTGTTATTCCTTGATGATGGTAGGTTCATGAGGTAATGTGGGTGAGAGCAACTGTTAGAAGTTTGAGAAAAGTGTTGGCTTGTTTGGGTGTTTTGTCTTTTGTTTTTGTTTGCTTTGTTTTGTTTTGTTTTTCTTTTCCCTCTGATCAATGCTCCTCTCCCAAGAGCAAGTCTTGGAGCCAATGTTCCCTTGGGTAGTTGAAGCACAGCTGCCCCTCTGTCTCAGCCATTTCCTATAGCCATAAATACATTGCTTATGCTCCTGCACTCTAAGCCCTGACTCTTTCAATCCAAGGAACAGAGTTTGAAGTTGGAGAGAAAGGTTCTGCAGCTAAACTCCCTTGATCAGAGGGAGCACAAACTTCATGGTGAGTTTTGTTGGTTCTTGAGAAATGCAGTTTAAGACTGAGACCAAGGAGCATTGAATGAAGAAGAGAAAGGAGAGGGCAGGGACAATAGAAAGACTGGGGGATTCTCTTGATTTTGGTAGTGAGCCTGAGGGTTTTGTTAGAGATTGCTCAAGTGTGAGGAAGGAGATAGTCAGAAAGAAAAACAGGTAAAGCAGTCTTTGTCCAATTCATTCCTAGCCCTTTTCTTATTCTGGTAGGTCATATCTAATATTTACTCATGGAGGGAATCTTTTTTGTCCTCATCTTTCTCTCTCTAGACACTCACACTTGTAAACACATATGTGCACATGCACATGATGCTGGAAGGAGAAAAGAAGTCTGCTTTCCTAGGCATTTTTATTTCCACATGGTATATTCTTTTTAAAATCATTTTTTGAACAAATACAAAATCTGCTTCTGCTACAGGATAAGGTTGGTAATTCACTTAGTAAAATCCCTTGAGAACCTATTGTGAATCTAATCCTCCTAAGTTTTTCTGGTGGTAAAAGGACAAGTCATGGCCCCTGCCTTTGAAAAGGTCACACGGTTCAGGTGTTAAGAGAAAACCCAGCTATATGAAACCAGTGGAGGGCATACAAGGAACCACAGTATTTGCTGAAATTCATTTAAGTGTCGGTGCCAACATAAGCACCTTGATTTGGGATAGAAGTCACCATGGCTTACAGAAATCATGGAAGGCTTCTTGGAGGAAGAGGGATATAAGCCGAACTTTGATGGGGTCAGGAAACACATCTGAATGGAGAACTGTATTTGGAGAGTAGCACAAAGGACGTAATAGTGTCATTTGTTGGGAAAATTAAGAATAGAACATGTATGTTGAGAATCAACTAGATACGAGATCTAAGGAGGTCACATTAAGGAGAAAGGGCTTCATTATCAGATGGGAGGAGTTTAGACAGGAGAAAGAGGTAAAAATACACTTCTCTAATTATGATATGGGTCATGTGGCCTAGTAGAACCACAAGACATGTCAGGAATTTATCAAATGTTTCTGCTTTGTTTCTGAAACTGTTTCTTATGAACTGAAAAGTACAAAGGAGAATTCGAGTTCTTGGATAGCCTTGGAATCGCATCCTCTATGCTAAAGGATCTGGCACACACATAGTCTTGGCAAGGAGCATGATAAGAGTAATAACTAACCTTTATGTAACATTTTAATGTTTGCAATGTATTTTATATAATTTGATCCTTACCATGACATTATAAGGGTAGTATTTTTACCATTTCATCGATGGGAAAACTGAGGCTTAGAGAGCTTAAGTGGTTTATCCAAGGTTAAATGACTAATGTGTATCAGAAGTATGGCCTGAAGCCAGGTAGGTCTTCTTGACTCAAAGTCCAGCGTTGCAATCCCTATACTATGCTGACAAAAATGAAGCTAGTTGGTTTGGGTGATGAAAACACTCTTCCTGATGTTAATAATGGTGAAGCAGATGGGAATGATTTTATCAATGATTCTTGTAATGATGAGAAGGATGATTATGCAAATGATATTGGTGGTGACAATGAATAAAGAAGGGAGGAATGGAGTATCAAGATAGAAGAAGAGGCATTCCTGCAATACTCTGTATGAAGAATCAGAGGCAGGAAGGGTGTGTGTGTGTGTGTGTGTGTGTGTGTGTGTGTGTATGTGTATGTAAGCATGAATTCAGAGGCATAAGTAGGATGGGGCAACCAGGGCATTGAAAAGTAGGTGATCTTTTTTAACCACATGAACTTCTGTCCCTGACCATATCTCTTCCCCATCAAAAGGCTCTTGAGTGGGGAGCTTGAGTTGCCAAAATTTCCCCTCATAGTGGGGTGAATATCCCAGAATCTTTCTCCATCCACTGCAGTAGGGTCCCAGGCTCTCCCTCCCTACAGGTTCATAGTCAAGTTCTCCACATCCATAACTGATTTGAGAGGACATGTAATATGTGCCATGATTTTAGCCCTAGGTAACAAAATTGTTAATTATAGCTTTGTGTTAGTTTGTAATAATCCCCATGTCTCAAATCATACTATTGAACATCATTCATTTTCTGTATGCAAAAAGCTTATGCATATATAAAAGGATTTGATTTTCTCCTGCCTATTCTCGGGAGGCAGAACTAGGAATAAAGGGCTAAAGTTGTAATGAAGCAGATTTAAACTCTTATGTCAAGAAAATTGTTCTATCACTTTTTAGATGTTGTAGAAGGGTTTCTTATATAGACATAGGCTGAACTAGATGGCATTTGAGTCTTTTGTAACTCTAAGATTCTATGACTGGTCTCTTCAATTCCTGTAAGCCTTGGAATAGCATTTCTTGGCTTGTGTTTGAAGGTAGTTTTACCTCTTAAGCTCTCCATCTTTTGCTGTTTCAAAGCTTTTGTCCACAGATAATCTACCTTCTGTTTCACCATTCTCAATCCAATCACCCCAATGACTGAGCACTGATATCTCTTTTCTTCTTTAAAAAAGTTATAGACAATTCTTATCATTTGGTCATTTTACTTGAAAAAGACTGGAGTTTAACATTCTCCGTTATGGAGTTATACAAAATATCTCCTTCTAACTCATTTACCATGTTTTCTTCCCCTATAGGACCATGACCTAACAGTATATATGACTCAGCTCCCAAAGAGTCACTATGCATTAAATTTCAACAGTAGCCCATTCCAGCCACCCTTCTTCCTTCTCACAGGCATCCCAAGATTGGAGGCAGCACACATCTGGATCTCTATCCCTCTATGCATCATGTACATGATTGCTCTACTTGGGAACTGTATAATTCTATTCATCATTAAGACCACTCCCAGCCTTCATGAACCTCAATACATCTTCTTGTCTATGCTGGCAGCTACAGATGTTGGCTTGTCTATATCCACATTGCCAACAGTGCTCAATATCTTCCTTCTCAACCACCGGGAGATAGAGTTCCACAGTTGCCTGGCACAGATGTTTTTTATCCATACTTTTTCCTCCATGGAGTCTGCCATCCTGTTGGCCATGGCCTTTGATCGCTTTGTGGCCATCCAAAACCCATTATGCTACACAATGATTCTTACCCATCCTCGGATTATTGGCATAGGACTAGTGGCAGTGTTGAGGGGTGTGGCACTGATGGCACCCTTGCCTATTCTGCTCAAACGTCTACCCTTCTGCAAGAACATCATCCTCTCCCATAGTTATTGCTACCATCCTGATATCATAAAGCTGGCCTGTGGACCTGTCAAGGTCAACATAATATATGGGCTGACACTCGTTGTTTGTTCTTTTGGTGTTGACTCTGTGTTCATTGTTGTCTCCTATATCCTAATCCTGAAGACAGTTGTGAGCATAGCTTCAAGTGAAGGCCACCTTAAGGCCCTTAACACTTGTATCTCCCACATAGTCACAGTCTTTATCTTCTATGTGCCACTCATTATTCTGGCCCTAATTCACAGATTTGGTACATTCACTTCACCTCTCTTTCATGTCACTATGGCCAACCTTTTCCTCTTCCTAACCCCAGTCCTGAATCCACTGGTCTATAGCTTTAAAACCAAACAGATCCGCTTTGCCGTGCATAAAGTATTCATGAGAAGAATCAGTTTGCCCCAGAAGTCCAGTGTTGCCTTTGGAATATAAACATGTGCTTGGTTATCAATCTACTTATTTCTGTGTCTGTGAGGTGTGCTTCATTTTCCTGGATTTGAGTTTCTGAGTTTAAATTTCATGAGTCTGCTTATTTCTTCCCACATATTTGATCTACATTCGGCATATGTTGCTATTAGCTGCATGTCTGAAGGTTGCTTGTGTCTGAAAGTAGCTCTTAACTCTTGGCCTTTTGCTAGGGTCTGACCAACCAGGATTCCCAGAGGTAATGTCAACTTTGAAACATGGACTATAGTATGCTTTTCCATTTAATAATATTTCTTTAAAGTTAAACTATTAAAAACAGTTAATATTAATTTCAATATTCTAGATAGAATTATGTTTAAATTTAATTCTTTTCTACCATTGTTAATGTAACTCTGTTTTCCCCCACATGCAAATCAATTACACATGGAAGGCATGAAAGAATCAGGAGGCATTCAACCTCTTAATCAATGACTACCATCACATACACAAACAAGAAATTGAATTTTTACTAGCTATGAAGTGAATTATTGTCAATAGACGAGGCATTTCTCAATCAGTTGGCTGTGGATCTGGGCAGAATACCAATTTATTAAAAAGAAAATAAGAATTTGCATAAAGCTAGACAAGAAAACAAAAATAAGAAAAGATACAGCATGTTATTAAAACAAACAAATTCATTCTAACCTATTCAAACAAGTTATTGATGGAGAAAAATGAAATATAAGATGTGGAAAGTAAAAGGCATAGACACTAGCTATAATAATTTCATACAGAAGTTTAATTTTATTGATGTAAATTAATTGCCATAATGCAAATCTTTCAAGTGACCAAAAGAATAATTTAAAATGTCTTAGTAAGTGTAAAAATGCTTTCTTGCCAAGTGGATAGATTTGGCATCCAAGGACAGCACATTAAAATCAAAAATCATTTGTAAATTTTATAAAAAGGAACACTTTTGGAAGACTGTGAACATTATTATCTCGTAGAACATACAGAATCAGTGGATAGTTAAAAATGTTTATTTTTAAGTTTGTATTGACATATCTTTCTTTTAAAGTTACTTATATTTCCTAATATATATCTGTACCAGCAAAACAGCCAAAACAACATTTTTAAAGGAAGTTCAACAAAACTAACCATCAACCAAATATGAAGTTATGTGCCATTATATTCATGCACACAATTTGTTCAGCCATTCCCAATCTATGGGCAACTACTTTTTCCCCCTTAATTTTTTGCTTGTATAGAAATTGCTGCTATAAATACTTGGTGTATATGGGGCCTTTCTTTTTTTTTTTATCATTGACCCTCTGAGACATATACTTAGCAGAGAGATTTCTGGGTAAAAAAATAAAGTATAGACATTTTTGTAACTTTATTAGCATGCTGCTTATCTAAATTGCCTTCCAGAATGATTGTCATCAATTCACATTTCCTCTGAAAGTGCATTAATGTACCTTTTCATAACCCCCCCCCAAGTCCTGTAACTTTGAATATTTATGTATTTTTTTCATCTTAGCCAATTCTCTGGAAAATAAAACAAAGAGAAAATTAACAGCTATCAACATTGTGCCTTCTTTCCTGTCTGCATAATCATGAATATAATGTATACTTGTATCCACAATGCTTTTGATAACGGTATTAGAAAGCAACATGCATGATTTTTCAATATATATTATGCATGATATCACATATTTACCATTACAACATTTAATGAATATTGTGTTGCATACAAGATCTCTATCAATTTGTTAATTGTAAAAACAACAAAAACAACATTTGATGTGGAGCTAAATACTATTTTAAAGATTCTCTTTCAAAAGTTTTTTTTAACTTTTTGGAAACTTATTAAGAAAAGAAAAGCCTTGTCTAAAAACCTACTGATTATTAAAATCAAAAAGCATAAACAGGACATGTATGCTTATCAATGGCATTTGCCACTGTCACAGGAGATCCAACATCAAGCCCCAAATTGAAAAAAAGCAATTGTTTACCAATGATGAAAGTCACTAGATGCTCCATTTTAAAGGTGACTTTTTTATTTATCAATTACTGAAAAACCATAGAGACCCCCAGAAGAGATCTCTAACTACTCAAAATTGTTTGATCCCACAAACTACATGGAGGAAACATTAAGTGATAAAGAATAACCATTAACAACAGGTAGTTAGATTGGCAATCAACAGAGCTCATACTCCAGGCTGTCCATCTCAGATGGATTCTACAATTGATGAGTTAAGGCCAAAATCAAATAGAAGGAGGGAGGCTTGAGTTGCTTTTGGAAAAAAAAACAAACTTTTCAATGATCATAAAGCAAAATACCATCTTTTTAATACTTATGATCGACTTGTATTTTTGAATGGGTGCAAGTCATAGAACACCACAATATATAAAAACATAAAAAAGAATATCAATTATAGTTCAATGAGAGGGGGAGGATTGGTCATTTTTGTCCTCAAATATCTCGTGCCTAGAGTAGTCATCTGGTACATAATTGGCATTTGCTAAATGCCTCTGGTTTGTTTGTCTTGGTTATAAAAAAGGTCACAACATATGACAAATAAGGATTTACAAAGGAGCACTGGCATATGAGATGTCCTCAAAGAAATAAATTGACTCTAAAAGAAGATATTGCCAAAAGTGAGGTATAGACAGTTCATGTGCTTCCTTGGTATCTTCATCATGTCAAGAGACAAGAAAAAATGCCCTTAGCATCTTGCAGTGAACACTTTTGATCAATTTATAGAAGGCCACTGTGCCAGCACTTGCTGCTAGGCCCCCCCTCATTAAACATCCTTCTGACACCTAGGCTTTTAACTCCCTTGTTATTGACTTAAGGATGACTTCAGGGGGCCTTAATTTATCCAAACTTGTCCCCCGTGACATCCTCCAGTGCCCAGTATCCAAGAGTCAAAAGTTGCCCAGTTTTGTTATTTCTAATAGATCCCTCAGGGTTTCATATCCCTTGCTGCTGAGGAATCTCCTACAAGTCAGTCTTGGATCCTTTTTATTTCAGAGTTGCTGCTGAGCCCTGGCTGAGGCTGTATCCATCTTCCTAAGACCTATCAGCCTCTGTTGCATGTTGACTCAGGGAGCCAAAGATGGAAGGTAGAGAAAGTAGGTGGAGCTTCTGGCTTAGCCTTTTGGTTTGTTACTTATTGAGTGGAATGGAGGGAAATACAGTTAACAATAGTAAAAAATTGAAGCAAATTTCTCTTATTTCTCAAACATAGAGAACTAAGTCAAATTGATAAAAACTAAGAGCCATTCCCCAATTGATTAATGATCAAAAGATATGATCAGTTTTCAGGTGAAGTAATGAAAGCAATCTATAGCCATCTGAAAAAGTATTCTAACTTACTATTGATTGGAGAGATGCAAATTGGAAAAATTCTGAGTTACTACCTCATACCTATTAGACTGGCTAATAGGACAGCAGAGATAAATAACAAATATTGGGGAGGATGCAAGAAAAATGAGACATTAATGTATTGTTGGTGGAGTTGTGAACTGATTCAACAATTCTATAGTGTAATTTGTAACTATGCTCAAAGGGCTATAAAATCACGCATGCCCTTTGACTTAGTAATACCATTACTATATCTGTATTCCCCCCCCAAAAAAAAACCAAAAAGGAAAAAGACCTATATGTACAAAAATATTCATAGCATTTCATTTCTGGGAGCAAAGAATTAGAAATTGAGAGGATGCCCATCAATTAGGGAATGGCTGAACAAGTTATGGTATGTGATTATGATGGAATACTATTTTACTATAAGAAATAATGAGCAGGATGCTCTCAGAAAAACTTGGAAAGACTTTCATGAGCTGATGCAAAGTGAAATGTACTAGGTACAACGTAACATCAATATTATAAGATGATCAACTGTGAATGACTTCACTATCCTCAGCAATACAATGATCCAAGACAACTCTGAAGGACTTATGATGGGAAAAGCTATCCATCCCCAGAGAAAGAACTGATGGTGTCTGAATAAAGATTGAAACATACTTTTTAACTTTATTTTTATTGAGTTTTATTGTCTGTGTTTAATGCTGCAACATAACTATTATGGATGTATTTTGCATGACTACACATATATGACCTATATCAAACTGCTTGACTTCTCAATGCGCGGGTGGGGAAGGAGGAAAGGAGAGAATATGTAACTCAAAGTTTTAAAAATGAATGTTAAAAATGTTTTTCCATGTAGCTAGGGGAAAACCCAATTAGTAAATAAACAAATTAATGAAGGAATGAATAAAAAGACAGTAAAAAGTCCCTATTTTTAAGAGAAAGAAAAAAAGGGGGAAAAAAAGAAACAGTTGTGGAGAAGAAAATGATAACTAACAATCTATCACAGTTTTGGAGAAACATCTTTAAAAACTTTTGGATGGGCAGGAGGTGACTGGAATACTTAGTGTTAGTGATATGGGGGATTGGCTGTCTTCTTTCTAGAAGTGTTATTTTCCTGTATGTCCTTGGGTATATGTACCACGATGCCTCTTTACCCCTGGGCAGAGGCTGGATAGGTAGAAACTCAGATCGGTGGTGGTTGGGACACTTTTGTCATTTTGTCCCATTAGTTCTGGGGGATTCTAGAAATATGATTCACCAGGTGGACAATTAAAGATTTTCTCCTGACAGTTCCCACAAGGTATTAAAAATGAAAGATTCATTAGTTATCATTTTTTATCCAGGTGATTCCTAAATTTAGTTATCCAGCCCGGGTACTTGTAGAATTCTAGTCTGGCAACACCAACTACCTTTTAGACAACTTGAATCGGATATCCCATAGTTACCGCAAATTCAAAATTCCCAAAGGAGAACTCATTATCCCCACCCCAGGCGAAATACGCCCACTTTTGAACTTCCCTGTTACTGTTGAGCACGTCACCAACCTTTCAGTTCACTCAAGTTCTTAACCTTCAAATCATTTTTGTTCCCAGACTCACGAATCCCACATATTCGATATTTTGTCAAATCCTATTTCTCCCTTGTCTCC